TCAAGATTTTTATTTATCTTGGATGTTCTATAGTTAGAAACTTATGTGCCCAGGTTTGGTATTGTTAGCATTCATTTTTTTCTTGACTTTTTACTACCTTTCCTGGGTCTGTGGTTAATGTCTGACATTAATTTGAAGAAATTATCAACCATTGTTGTTTCAAATATTTTTGTTTTGTTCTTTCCTCTTTTTCTCCTGGAATTCTCATTGTATGGATACCTTTGTAATTGTCCCCAAGTTCTTGGATCTTTTGGCTTTTTTTTTTTCAATCTTTCCTCTTTGTTATCTAGTGTTAACAGTTTCTGTTGTGACATCCTAAAGCTGAGAGAGTGCACTTAACCAGTGACCTTGTCCCCTTCTCAGTGACATTTCAGCCTCTGGGGTTTCCCCACCTCAGTGCCGTTCCCGGTGGAAGTTTATGCCTGTGGGTTTCTGCTCAGGCAAGCCAAGATCTCTGTGTTTTCTTGTGTTTCTCCAGTTTTAGAGATGCCAGTTAGTTCTATTAGCTCTTCTCTGATAGGTCTAAGAAGAGGTTTTTTTTTTTTAATTTTTTTCAGTTTCTTTAGTGTTTTACGTTTTTAGGATTGAGTGACCATTAATAGCTTCTTGCATGGTAGACTGCAAAGTAGAATTCCTATTATTGAATTATTTTTCTTATTTCATTTTTGGGTGTGTTACTGTATAATTCTTATGTAAACTTTGCTGAATTCATTTATTAGTGCTATAGTTTTTTTGTGGATTCTTTGGGGGGTTTTCTCTAGGTAGGATTATGTGCTTTTTGTGTGGATACAGTTTTACTTCTTTTTTTTCCAGTTCAGATACCACTGTTATTTTCTTTCTTTGTTGCCTAAATTTTTAGCTAGAACTTGTGATACTAAGTTGAATTGCAGTGGTGAAATTTTTCCTTTACCTTCAGGAAAGACCTTTAGTCTTTCTTATTGAGTGATAGGAACAGTGGTCTTACAAATGCCCTTTATTTGGTTAACGTTCTCATCTACTACTAGTTTGTTGCATGTGTTATTTTTTTAAGTCATCAAATACTGTTAAATGTTCTTTGAAATGATCATAGGAATTTAGGACATTTTTCTTTATTCCATCTAGTGTGATGCTTTACTTTGATTTTTGTATGTTGAACTCCTCTTACATTGCTGAAGTAAGTCCCATTCAGTTGTGGTGTATAAACCTCTTAATATGCTGCTGAATTTGGTTTCCTAGTGCAAACTGAAGTTGAAATCTGACTTTCAGATGTTTCAGAGTCTAAAACTTTGGACATGATACTACAAATGGAAAATTTTATACCTTATCTCACGTGGTAGGTGTAGTCAGAATGTAGGCCCACTAAGATACTGTATAAAATTGCTTTTGGGCTGTGTGCATAAGGTGCAGAAGATGTGATAAAAATATGGATATTTAAATTAAAAATTGATTACAGTAAAAGATACAGGGCATTAATCCTGCTCAAAGTATTTCCCCTTGCTTTCGCATACTTACCCCACCATTTTTCCACTATCTGAAGCAGCTCTGGAAGTCATTATTTGTATCTTTAGTTGTGCTATTTTGACTGCTTTAATGTCTTGAATTGATTCAAAATGTTTGCCTTTCATGGTTATTTTGACTTTGGGAAAGGATCAGAAGTAACTCTGTCAGATCTGGTGAATAAGGTGAACAGTGTAGTAATTTTTACAAGCCTATCTTTCCAGTGGGCGGCAGACAGCAGCATTATTCACTGTATGTTTACCACTCCTCCACTCCTCCTAAAGACACTTGCAAAAGAGGACTTCTGGAACTGCTTCAGAAGTGGCAGGAATGAGGGGTATGTTGGAAGAGAGGGAGGATTTTAAGGGGGTTCAATGGTAGTGTGTCTTTTACTTAATAAATTTTAAAATTAAACATTCACTGCATATTTCTGTCACACCTGAAAATGTGAAACAAATGAATTTTGTGTTTTTATTATTGGGTCCATCTTTAAGATGTATTCATTGTGCATATGGTAGTATTTCAGAATTTAAAATCTGTTCTGATCCCAAGTGTTTCAGATAAGGGATACTCAACCTGTGTGTCATTGAGGATCTTTGCCTCTGTGTACTAAGGATTAAGTCTGTGTTTCCCCTAGTATGCTCTTGCCTCCACCTGAGCCATTTTTTATACTGTGGTTTTAGTGGCCTTTTTAAAATGCAGGTTTGAGCATAGAAATATGTTATAACAAATTGTGAAATACTAGAAGTATACTCATTAAAAATATTAAGAAAATAAGGAAACTTTGCTGATATTCTATATTGGATTTACAGTTCTAGCTAAAATAAAATGGTAAGAGAGTAAAATGAGATAATAAATCAAAATTAGAGTAGAAAAATGTTAACTGTCAATATTTCTAGACCATGATGATCATCATCTTAGAAAATTGAAAAGACCACTCATTAAATCTGTTAACAGTTCATAAATTTACCAGGAAAATGCTAAACAAAAATCACAAAACTTTCCTTGTATTCTTAATATATGATTAGAAATAAAGCAGTATATAAGAGCCACATGTAGCTTCCAAAGCATGTGCAAGAACTGTAAGGAAAAGCCTGTAAGAAAAAAGAATCAGGACCATAAAAGTATGCTTAAATTTTTAAGTGTATTTCCAGGTCCTAAAAGGAAAGATTTAATAGGTAAATAGTAAGAACAGTTAATTCATAAAATAACTAATGACCATTAAATTTAACTTTATTTCAGAAAATTGTTGAAACCTGATATAAATTGACATTATTTTTCCTATGTAATGTCAGAGATTTATGATATTCAATGTTTGATGATTCTTATTAACATATTTTATAAGGCTTCCTTTATTGTCCTGATGTAAAATATATAGATATGTAAGATGCTTTCACACACTAATTTTAAAAATATCTCCCAAGATACAGTAATAAAAAGAAAGGGAAGATAATTCATAGTAAAATAGTGTTTACTGCATCAAAAGTGTTCATGCTAGAAGGAATGATAGTGATTAGGTTCTTGTGTTGTAAGTTTACATTTATCATATAATTTGATCCTCACAGAGTTCCATGAGTTTTGGCATTGTTAGTATTTTAACAGAGTAAGAAGAAAAAGGATCAGCGAGACTAAGCAATTCTCCCAAGGTCACATAATTAGGATATACTAGATTTTAGGGGATTTTAGCCCTACAGATCAGACCTTAGAGCCTGCATTCTTAATTTCCATTCTTAGAGTTGTTATGAACTTGAATACCTCAAAGGCACTTTGGATTTGCCTTAAACTCTTGAGCTTTGCCTCCTTCTACCTTTACCTTGGTGTTTTTTAATGATTCTGTCTTGTTGGATGTCATCTCCTTTTGTTCAGTTGCTGAAACCAGAAATGTGGTAGATACTCCTGACATCTCCTTCAGTTCAATCAATCTCAAGCCAATAATCACTAACACATTTTAAATTTTGCTTGAATAATTGGTAAATCCTTTCACTTCTCTATTTCTAATACTGCCAGTCTCAGTCAAACCTTAACATTATCTTCGGGCTGGACTGCAGCATTTACCTTGAGCTTCTGCCCTGTCCACTTGTGGTATGATCTTCAGATATAGACACTGCAGCCCATTTCTGCCTTGAGTTGTATATGTGATAGCTACTTAATATTCTCCATGACGAAACTGAAGTTGAGTGGTGTGGCATAGTCATTGAATGTGGAATTGATTGCCACTTACTAGCTGAAGGCACTTAACCTTTTCAAGTCTCAGGGTCCTTATCCGTTAACTGATAAAAATAGTGCCTGTCTCTTGGGTTGCAGGGATTACGTAAGTTAATACACCTCAGGCTCTGGAGTAATAATGCCTGGTGTGTATTAATGTGCTCAGTTAGTGGTGGCTGTTAGGATCTATCCAAGGTCATGCAGAGCCTGTCCTAGGTAATCTCTTGTGCTATTGTGTACACTAAGATCCCTTGGGATTCTTGAAGATGTATTCTGTTGTGAGCTGAAATCATCTTTGTACTTTCTTTAAAAATGTATTTGTCCAGTTTCTTGGACAGAAGATGTGTCTATTTTGTTGTCTTCTGTTTAATCCTTTGCATATAAGAACCAGTCTCAGCCTGGGGGAAAGGTTTCAGTTATACAGTGAAAATTGTGCTTACTCAGGAGACAAGAAGCTTTATAGGTTGTATAGAACTTTGAATATCCACCTAAGGTCTTTGAATTCAGATATTTTGAAATAAATAATTAAAGGATTTTAAGGAAGTAGTGAATTCTATATGTAGGTTTATGTTTAGAAAATTGATCTGACTCCTTCATTTGGGATGATGCCCTCTGATAAAATTAGGAGAGGTAGGAGGAGGCTTGGGTTTAGTGGAAGAGAAGATGAACTTTGCTTTCTGTAGGTTGAGTTTAAGTTGCTTGTTCATCCTATATCTGGAAGTGCCATTGGGTTAAGTGTGCGATGGAAGTCTGGATAGAAGCCTTGAATAAGAGCACTGAGTACTGTGCAGTACAGTAGAAGAGGAAGCAAAGGAGCTGTGACAGCTGGCATCCTAGCAGAAAGCAGCGCAGATGGCCCTTGCACAGGACAAGCTTTTGTCAGTGATTAGTCCTTTATGCTGTGTGTACCTGAAGGTGATGAAGATGTATTTTAAGTAGTGCCTTGTAATTTCAGATTTTCACCAATAAGTGTGGCCTTCCCACAAGTAGTCTGATTTGTGATGTAAAATTTATATGCTGTGGTTTTGGGCCAGGGATATAGCTCAGTGGCACAAGTGCCTGCCTGGCAAGAACAAGGTCTTGAGTTTGATTCCCAGTACCCCCTTAGAAAAAATGGTTATAAGTACTGTGGTTTAAAAATAATGCTTATCTTGAAAAGAAAGTTAAGCATGAAAATAAGGATAAAGTGCTTACAAGGAACTTAAAGGAGATGATAGATTTGTTAAGTCCCAAGTTAGCTAGATATGTTAGAGTTTTCGTTCTTGGAATACCACTCTAACTGAAGTGTGTCTGTTTTTACCCCCCTTTTCCTTAACTAGGAATTGTGGTGCTTGGAATAAACAGAGCTTATGGCAGAAATTCACTCAGTAAAAATCTTATAAAAACGGTAAGTGTAAAGATTAAAATGTTTACTTCTAATATTAAGATCTAATTTTGAAATCAGTCTGAAAATGATTTTTTCTTTTTCCTCCTTACTCTCCCTATTTTGGTTTAGTTATCAAAAACTGTGGATGCTTTAAAATCTGATAAGAAAGTTCGGACCATAATAATTAGGAGCGAAGTCCCAGGGATATTCTGTGCTGGTATGTAAATGAATTTTATTATGAAACAAGAGCCTGTGTCTTTTTTAAATTATGAAATTATATAGAAGTCTGTTTCACTAAAATGTTCTGTGACTTGAACTTCATTGCCAACAAGCAACTCCTCTTTGCTTTTTTACTGTTTCACAAGAAAAAATACTTAGAAAGAAATTTTGTAATGTGAGTTGTTTTAGAAGTTGAAAAATAATTTGAGCCATTAAAATATTTGTGGCACATGAATAGTATTTGAAACATCAGTTGGGAAGGGAAAATTAAGTCTTCTGTCCCATCATTATGCTCTGTACTTTAGTTGTTCAAACAGTGCTTTAATTGATCATACCTGCCATGTCACAAAGCATTCAGTGTAGAATTTGCTTTGGAGATTGGTGGTTATAGCAGCACCCACCTGGGTATTTGCCTGTGGTTGTACAGTATTTCCCAGTTGGTATTCAGGGCAGCAAAAGATGTGACTAGGGCCGGGGATATAGCTCAGCAGTACAAGCGCCTGCCTGGCAAGCACAAGGTCCTGAGTTCAATTCCTGGTACCAAAAAAAAAAGATGTGAGTAATTCACATATATATTTTTCTGTTCATGCTGCATTACCAAAGCTAAAGATTAATGTTGCTTGCATTTTATTTATTTCTCAGTATTTCTTTTTTTTTTTTCTTTTTTTGAGACAGGGTCTCTCAGTATTTCTAAACCATGATATTCATTGAATCATTTTCAACTAGTAAAAAGTATAGGTGATCAAGATGAAAAAAGGCTGGTAATTTGTGTTGTCTTGTAATTTACCAATAAGCAAATATAGAATTTAAAGCATAAAATATACTTTTCCAGTCAAAATATAAATAGGGTAATTCCCTTGAAGTAATTAGACATTTAGGGGACCCACTGACAGTGTTCTGTTTATTAAGCAAATACTTACTGAGTATTTAGAATACATACCTGGAACAGTTCTGAGAACACGAGAATATTTGTAGACAAATGTTTTTAGAAGTGTCTTAATTGTGGTCGATATCATTTAGTGTGTTCAGCCTTTTTAAACTTTAATATCTTACCTTAAAATATTGTAGACTTAACGATCATTTAAGAGCACATAGTGCAAATGAGTTATATTTTGGCTTTGGCAGGGTTTTATTATTGTCTTCAAATGTAGTAGAACATACTTAAAAGGATTAGCTTTAACTCCTGATTGCTAATCGAAGAATGGGGCATCAATACCCTCCTGTACTTGGGCTGTGGTGATTGATATTCCAGAACCTCTGCCTTCACACTTGTCAGAGGTAATACTGGCTGCCTGGTAGGGGTGTTAGAGATTTTGCTGTGACAGTGTAAGGAAAGTACAGTGCCCTGGAGTTGGCCCTTGGTCTCTTCAATGAAATGGTGTGGCGTTTGCCTATAACTTATCCACTTCTTCCCATAAACTTTAAATGGTTTCTAGAGTATTTGTAATACCTGATGCAATGTAAATGCTGTGTAAATAATTTTGTACTATATTACTTAGGGAATACTAATAAGAAAAAAGTTTTGCACATGTTCAATGTAGATACCCTCCCACACCCACCTCCACTATTTTCTTTTGTGGTTTGTTGATTCAGAGGATGTGGAATCTCTGTGGTTCTCGTAAAGATTTTACATACATTTTGAGTTCTTTTTTTCTTAAACAATATGAGGAGCTTACACCAAGAGGATTATGATTCTTACTTCTGTAACTTTTAGAACAGGTGAAGTGTGGTCTTGAGGTGAATGGTTCTCACACTCCCACTGGTGGCTTTGAGGTCTTCTGGGAATGATAGGATAGCTTATTAGGAAGCTGTAATGTGTTTTAAAGGTTTTAATGAAGGCTGAGTTCATGAATCTTTAAAGAGTGGTGGTAATACTGTGAAGGCAGAACAACACTGTGTTAATGTTTATCTAGCTTTTGTCTTCCCGTTAATAATAGGTTTTGTAACTATCACACTATAATTACTGGTACAAGTCTTTTTATTTTACCCTTTCTTTGGCTTCCCATTTATTCTGCTTCTCTATACAAATAATTTTGTTGGAAAAGGGCTTAAATAATTTTTTGCAGTTTGTAGCTATCTGTTGCCAGTGCCTTTTGGGGGACATATTAAATAATCTACAAAATAGTGCAAATTAGCCTTGAATACTTTCAATGTGGTTTAATCTATGTATTTACGTACTTCTAAATTTTTGCATGATCAGAGTAATCTTTAATATTTTAATTCAAGATTTGTTACTGTATTCTGTCAAAACCAGTATTTTAATTGTAGGAAAATTGGTGCAAATAATTTATTTTGATAATTCACTGTGTCATTTGGGACTATTTCAGATTTCTCTGAAAGGTTTTTTCTGCCTGGATTTTAAATAGGCAGTCCAGTAGGTTTGTATTTGTATAATTCTAGGCAATTAAAATTTCCTTACCTAGTTAAAAATATTTAAATTTATCATGGCCTAAAATGACATAACTATCTTACTTTTAATCAGGCTACTTCTATTAGTTATTATTGAAGAATGTCTTAGTTACTTTTCTCATTGCTGGGACAAAATAACCCAACATCCAAAGTTAAAGAAGCAAAGGTTTATTTACCTCACAGTTTGTAGCGGTTTCAGTCCATAATCGGCTGGCTGGGTGGTGTGACAGAGGGGATTTATAGAGGAGAAACAGTTCATGGCAGGCAGAAGGTAGCAAAGCAAACAAGGGACAACTGCAGCTTTTTCTACCCTAATATCTTATCTGGGCTACTCAGGACAGGTAGCACTCACACTCTTAATCCTAGTGCTCATGATCCTAGCATTGCACATGAATCAGTTCCAGCATCACACACTCTGCATCCAGTCACCTGTGAAAAAGCCCCACGTACGACTGTGTGAGGCTTTGGAGGAACTTCAGGACACAAGCCATAACATGTAATAAAATGCTTTTTTTGACAGTCCTGGGGATTGAACTTCAGGCTTTTGCTCTCAGCTACATTCCCAGCACCTGTTTCATTTACTTACTTGTTTTGAGACAGGATCTCACTAAAGTTGCTAAGTTGCCCAGGATGATCTTACACTTGCCATTCTCCTTCCTCCGCCTCCCAGAGTGCTGTGATTAACAAATGTGCTGTGCCACAGCAGGCTCATATAATTTTTAATTTTTATTCTGAAGTAGCAGTAATAGTAAAAAGCAAAAACAAAGCAAAAAAAAACAACCCACCAAAAACCACTCAGAAACAGTGTACCCTATTTATTGGTTATTCTTTTGGAACCTATCTCCCCAAAGTCACTCATTTTCCTTTTGCACCTCCATAAAGATTTCTCTTCTCTGTTTATCTATTCCAGTGGTACCTTGTTCATTTTTAAAAACTTAAAACTTATAAAGTGATCTTGCCCCAAATTCCTTAAGCCAAGGAACTTACTCTGTTTCATCTTTTGTATTCTCAGAGCACAATGTATATTAGGGACTCAGCATGTTTTTGTGAAATTAATCAGCCTTTAAACAGTAGTTCAATTTACTGATGCTATTTTAGGGATTGTTGGCATATGTTTAAGGAGTTTCTCTGAATTATCTCAGACCACTGTTGTTTTAGAGAATTCTGACAGCAGACTTATTTTCTCTACATCCTGTAAAGTGCTAGGGAAACAGGTGATTAAGGACTGTTAAGGAGATTCTTGCATTGCATTGGACCAGGTATTTTCTGACTTCTGATAACTGTTTTACCTATGTTAATCAAATTTTACTAAAAAAAGTATTTAGTAAGTTAAAAAGTCTTAAGAGTATACAAAGAGAAATCCTGCCCTCTATTCCTTTCTTCCCCTACTAAAAATAATAATTTTATCATTTTTTCCTAATATTTCATTATGATAATAAATTATCATTGTACAAATATACACATGCACTCATTAGACTGTTAAGCAGCTAACAGGACATACATAAAGATTCTTACAGTCTGGCAGATACATAAGAGAGTTACACACAGCACATTATACCCAACATTGTTCCAGCTGTGTGAGCTATGCAAGTCAGATCACAGATCAGAGATGATATTTTCTCTATCTTGAGACTTTCTCAAATCTTAATTTCATTATATTGACAAATTATATTAAGCAAATATATATGTAGTAAATAATTTTTTAAAGCTTGTGATATGTATTAGTATATTTTTCTGTTTTGATAATTTAAATTGTATCTGTGTTTCTGAATTATTGTTAAAACATTTGAAAGGGAAAAGTTTAGACTAAAGAGATTTTAAAGAATAATTCAGGTGTTTCATTTTACAGAATCTCTAGTTGGTAAAGGGCCTGGTTAAAGCTAGTGACTTAGTTGAAACTATTTGACTACCAGGGCAGGGTTTTTTGGGGGTTGAGGGGAGGAGCAAACCCATGGCCTGGTGCAGACTAGGTAAGCACTCTACCACTGACTGAGTTACCTCCAGGCAAGGTTTTCTGTATGGTACTGTTGTTTCTAATCTAAGAGGAATATATAAAGTCTCTCTGTCTCTGTCTCTGTCTTTTTTTTTTTGGTCTTTTTGAGACGGAGTTTCACTATGTAGTTCAGGCTGGCCTCAAACTCACTTTGTAGCCCAGGCTGGCCTTGAACTTGCAGTGATCCTTCTAAGTACTGAGTACTGGGATTACAGGTGTGTAATGGTGGTGTGCCACCATATCTGGCCCCTCAAATCTCCTTTTTTAAGTTCTTAAAATTCATACATTTACCCATCTTAGTAGCTCTGTTGGTTGGAAGTCACAGTTGGGAATCTTTGTTATAGATTAAAATACTATCTCTGGGCTCATGTGTGCCTGTATTTCTTAGAATATTGGGAAATGCATTTTGATAGCCAGAGCTTCTTGTGAAGCATTGGCTACACTGATAATATTAGAGATTGGCCTGAGTGTGTATGGGTATTTTAGAAATTGTTTATTTTTAATGTTTACCTTGTTTCTTATACCTGAAAGCTAAAATAACTCCATTTCAAAATGCTTACTCAAAATTTTATTATTGCCTATAATGGTTATGAAAA